CGGGAAGGGCGTTGCGTTCGCTTGGCCTGAAGGCGCCTCTTCCCATCTGCCACCCCCACCGAAAAGTTTTGTGCTTCCTCGAGGCTGTGACTGTCCTCCTCCCAGCCCCCATTTCCAACATTCTCCTCTTTGATATCAACCTGGAGACAGTGGTTTGGGATTTCATTCTCTTAATTTATTCTCTTTCTAGCAGCAGTTGGAGCCGTCACGCTTTGGTGGAAAGCTCTTTGTTGCGTGTGCGGGTTTGTTTAAAGGCAGGATCTGCCGGCGGGGGGGGACTCCGATACCTGCTTGGGCGGGCGCCCCGCAGCTGCTGCTTGAAAAACAAGAGGGGAGTCGCTCGCTCTGGTTTGAAGCCTGCGACCGCTCGCTTCATCTTGTGTCTGCTTCTGCTTGTCAGATGAAAGAGCATATCTAATCACTTCTCATCTGCCTCCTCCGTGGCGGAATCTGAGTGATTTTTTTAGACCCGTCTTGTGGAATAAACGTTAACGACGTCTATCAACGTGACGCTGAGCCGATGCTGCTCCAGAGCTGTCCCCCCGCGACTCCCAAAATTCTCCTCCTGACCTAACGGAGCTGCGTGGTGGGGTGTGCGCAGCCAGTGCTGTTCCACCACCGGCTGTTTATAGACGTCTCGTCTGAGCTGCTTTATGCTTGTCCTTCTGCAGCCCCACCTGAGCAGCTGCGCTCTGTAAAGTCCCTGATAACAAACACCATCTGCGGCGCCCGCAGTCTTTGCACCCTTCGGGCACGGGGCGGAGCGGGAGTTGGCTGGGGTGCCCTGGGAAGCTCTCAGTGGGAGTCCGGAGGATCCTTTTTTAGGGCCAGTTCCTTTTAAAAAAACGTGTTTATCAATGATCTGTAAGGAAATGCAAGTTAATGGAGGAGGAGCTGGAGAAGATGCAACAACTTAGAGAATGATAAATAATGAAGAGGACAGGTCCTTGGTACGGAGTGACCTTGATTGCTTAGCCGGAGGGCTGTGTTTTGCAAGCGATAGTCGTTGCACTGAAGCAAGATGCTTTGCATCTAAAAAACATTAAAATTGAGCCCAGAGGATGGGGAGTGTAGCTTTGAAAAAATGCAAACGCCTTGTGCATTTTATTCTTGTTTTGAATGTTGTGTGTGATTTGGAGCCAGCCCTCCCTCTTCCACCAGCACGGCCCCCAGGAGAGGTGTTGAGCGGCTTCCGTAGAAGGAGAGATGAAGTAGGTTTGGCCTTTTAATCTGGAAAAGCGGACTGAGGAGGGCATGAGCGAGGTGTATAAATCATTAATGGTCTGCGGGTATTTATCGTTCACCTCCTCTCCCCTGCGCAAGAACCGGCAGGCGGTGGCCGGCGCTGGTCCGTGGGGGCTCGGGTCAGGCCGGGAGCTGGTTCTCTGCATCTGGTTAAGCCATGAGAATTGGTGCTGGAAGTTGGGGGGGTTGGGAGGCGGCAATGTGATTTCGTGGCGAAAAAAGCCATTTGCTACGGATTGAAACCGTCTGGCTTGGGAAGTGCCTGAGCTGCACATGGTGGTGGGTGCTGCCATGCGTTTCCTGAGACTTTTCTCCGGGGATCCCTTGTCAGCTGCTCTCGGACGCGGTGGTGGCCTTGGTGGAGGTTCGCTGGGCTCAGCCCTTGCCGTGTCCCCCTGAAGCTCTCGCTCTTGCTGTCAGGCTGCGCTTCAGGGAGGGCGTTGATAAACCAGAGACGGTTCAAAGAAGGGTTTTCAATCGGAAATGTTGCACTGCAGCATGGGGTGGGTTCTGCATTGCCGAAAATTCATGCATCCAGCCGGGACGCTTTCCGAAAAAGCTGCTGTGTTTCAAGTCCGGCCTTTGAACGCGAGGGAGGATTTTGAAAGGAAACATCCTAACGATCATTTACACAGGAACTCGGAGTGGTTAATAATAATGACTTTTGTTTTGGATTTACACCTGGTGAAGAGCTGACCTCCAGATGTTTTTCCTACCGCATCCTTGAGACCGGCTGTAGGACAACTGAAGAGCAGCAGAGCTTCGTTTGTCTACTGCTGTGAAAGAAACAGCGGGAGACGCTGGTACAGATGCTCGTGCATTCGAGAAGATTAATTAGTGTCTGTCGCTGTGCCGCAGATGAGCACGCCAAACGTGATTACACACCTCGTTCTCGTTGCGTCGTCAGGAAAGGCAGCGCTGCCTGTTACGCTTTGTCCTGGAGAGGAGCGGGTGCTGCAGATTCCAGCCCACATGTGCAAATGCTCGAGCTGCGCTGGGCCGGGGGCCTGTTCCTCCCTGTTCCTGGAGAGATGCCCTTGAATGTCAGAGTCACGGTTACTACAATCGCTCCGCAGAGAGCGGCACCCACTCCTTCGGGCGCCACAAAATCCCTTTTTACCTCCTGCCCTGCGCCTCGGCGCGGCTGAAACGCTGCGTGCGCTGGGCTGCGACAGTGACCTCCCGTCTCGCTGGTGCTCGGAGCTTGGTGAATGGTGGCAGCAAAACGCTGTCATGAAAATAAGTGTTTGGAGGAAGGGGGGTTGATGTCTTCATCTTCCACACGTGGAGAGCGGTGGCCTGAACCAGCCCTTTCCGCCGAGCTTGGCAGATGCGCCTTTCTGGGGACGTGTGCCGCCCCGATAATTGCTGTAGTGAGAGTGAAAAATGGACTGCCTCAGCGTAGCTGTGAGCTTAGAGTGCTGTTTATGGCTGTCTTACAAACAAGGTATTACAAGCTGAGCCGACTAATTATGGGGTGTCGTAAAGAATGAACCCCCGGGCGGAGCCTCGAGACTCTAGTTAAGAGCTCAGTGTAAGAGGGAGAAGATTTGTGGAGGAGCAGCCCAGATCCTCTCGTGTTAAGATTGATTTTAAGATACGAGCCACTGAAGTGGCGAATCCCCTCCCCGGCCTCATCTTGCTGGCATTTTCTGGCGTTTATTTGGCACTCACAAAGCCTTTCTACCTTCTCTCTTGCAGATATGTCGGTCGGCGATGCCTGCTGGCTCGGCTTGGCCCCAGCCTTTCTGTGCGACAGTGAGTCCGAGGTTTTACTGAGAGTAACGGGATTAAGCTCTTCCCCGAGGGATCCTGTCTAAGGCTTTGGGGCATGCATGTGCTCCATCCGCTCAGTAATTCTGCTCGATCAACGCCGTGTTTTAGCTGGGCACTTACCGCCTCATGCTGCCACATTTACAGAGGGGGTGGGGATCAAGGGAGAGCCTGGCTGGCTGCTGCGGTGGGCCTGGGTCTCTTGTGGGGTGGCCGTACCCCCGTCACCCCTCTGTGCGACAGCTTTTCACCTGAGGCAGGCTGGGAGCCGCAGAAACCCTCTTGTTCCCGTGCTGCCGGGCTTAGGGAGAAATAGTTATTTTCTGCTAAATTGGGCTGTAAGCGTAATTGCTGTGTAATCTCGGGAACATTAAATGACAAGCTCTTTATTTGGTACAGCATGCAATTACCGTGGCAGTAAAGAGCAGGTTGCATGTTATCAGTATTATATAATGTGTTATCTGATATCCTATACCCTGATTTGGGCGGTGCTGGGCGGGGGGGTGGCTCGGCTCTGCTGGCTGAGTGGATTCCAGCGCAACAGCTTCCCGTCCTGTGTATTATTATTATTATTCACTTGGGAGAGCTGGCAGCGATCCTCTCCTTGCCTGTGACCACGCACAGCTGGAGCTGTTCTTTGTGCTGCTGTAGTCAAAGTCAGCCGGGAGCTCGTGTCCTGCGAGATGGAAAGCTGCGGCAGCAAAGCCCGCGCGGAGCAGGCAGGGGTAAAACGCTGCCCATCTCTCTGCACCTCCCATCTCCTCTTCTTTTGCAGCGTTGTCCCGATGGGAACGACGGCCAAGGAGGAGATGGCCCGCTTCTGGGAGAAGAACACCAAGTCCAATCGTCCCATGTCCCCTCACATCAGCATTTACAAGTAAGAGCCTTCCTGGCCTCCTCAGCTTTGCGCTGGGGCGCTTCTGGGCTCTGGCACACGACAGCCCTGTCCCCAGAGGCACCCTTGGGTGGGAAGGCGGTGCGCGTTCCCACTGTCAATGCAGGCGGAGGATGGGGAAACCCACTGCGCTGTGAACAGTCTGCGCTGTGAACAGTCTGCGCTGTGTGCGGGAATCATAGAATTCATCGAATTGTTTAGGTTGGAAAAGCCCTTTAAGATCATCCAGTCCAACCAGTAACCTACACTAGTCCACACTAAACCAATCAAGGGTAGACCAGACTAAACCATGTCCCCAAGTGCCACCTCTGCCCGTTTTTTGAACACTTCCAGGGATGGGGACTCCCCCACCTCTCTGGGCAGCCTGTTCCAATGCTTGACCACCCTTTCCGTGAAGAAATTTCTCCTAATATCCAACCTAAACCTCCCCTGGTGCAGCTTGAGCCCTTTTCCTCTCGTCCTATCGCTAACTACATGGGAGAAGGCCTCCCCCACCGAGTTGGTGACACTGTTTTCGTATGGAGTGTTGGGGAGGGGTACAGTCCCCCCCTGAGGTGCGCCTCGGGGTGCTCGGGCAGGGCAGCGTTTCCAGATGTGCCGCTGAAAGGCAGCTGCCTCCGCGGAGGGCGGTTGCGCAGAACGGCGCGTCCTGCTGCCAAGTTGGCGGTCCTCGGGGGTGGAGGCAGGAGGCTGACTTGGGGCTCTCGGGTTCGCTCCTCAGAAAGGTGACGGCTTCTTTGGGGCCGCCTCCGTCGCTTTTCCAGGTTCTCTCGTTTATCCGGGAGCCTGGATGCCCAAACCCTGCCCCTTTGTTCCGCTGCTGCAGGAGCATTACAGTCTTCTGTTTCATCTCCCTTTAAGCTTTCTCAGCAGACGCCCTTCCCCTTCCCAAACCCGTGCCAGTGGCATTTGCCATTCCCAAGCTGCCTCTGCAAATTCCCCTGTCTCTCCCCTTTTGCTCTGGCTGGATTCCTTGAATAGCTCCGAGTACAGAAATACCCACCAGCAGCACAGAGCTCTCTAGGAATAGACGGGCTGTGCTTTGTCCCGTGGCCTCGGAGGCCTCCCTGGTGTTGTGCCCTGTTTTGCTGACGAGGTTGGTTGTTTTGCAGGTGGTCCCTGCCCATGGCGATGTCCATCACGCACCGGGGCACCGGCATTGCGCTGAGCTTAGGTGCGTGCATCTCCCACCTGCCTGTGGCGACGGAGGGCGGGGGCTGCGGGAGGGAAGACCCCTCTGACGGATTTGGAGACCTGACTCCAGGCGGATGTTTTCTTTCCTCTGTCCCCAGCTTCACCGATGGGTTTTCTCCTGGGAAACCTGTGCTTTGTCCTCTCCCTTTCTCCATCCCCTGAATATCTCCCCATCCCCATTTCTCTGTCCCTGGGTCCTCTTGTGCTGTGAGTGGCTCCAGTCCTGCAAAGGCAGCGATGCTCCCCCGTACGTAAAAGCCTTCGAAGCCTTTGTAGCACTGTGGCCTGGCTTGGCTGCTTTCTTCAGGGCCTTCCTCAGCCTGGAAAAGGCCGATCTGCCGCTCCATTTCTCAGCCCTTCTCTTCTGGGGCTGTTTTTTGCTCATTTACCCTTACAGGAAACCCTGTGTGAGGGAAAGACTGACAGGCAGGCAGAGCTCAGAGGATTTTCCTTAGCACAGGTGGAGTTTTTCAGCTTCCTGGGAGTGGCTGCTGCTTTCCCAGAGATCCCGGTGGGGTAGAAGGCAGTGCCAGCGTCAAAAACTGATAAACTCCCTCCAGCAATTTGACTTGCATGGTTTGACTGAGTGATAGGACATCTAACTGTGAAAGGCTGTTTTATGTCCATTAATGCTCTCTCATGGCAGCAGGAAGGTGTTTCTCTGGTTGCTCCCTGTTGAGTCGGGGGGGAGCTGGGTTGGTGTTTGCAGGAGGGCAGAGAGCGAAAGGACTCAGGAAGGAGGTGCAGGACTGAGGACTTGTGTTCATCACGCAGCGGAG